CTAATTAAACTCCTCCGGTTTGCATCCACTTTTTTGTAAGTTTGGATCCAAGTATAGCAGTTTAATTTCTCTTGGACTATTTTAAAACTGTTTTGAAATCTAGTCATTTATGTAACAGTTAAATGTCATGTTTAGATACTCTGTTTTCTGTTTTGAGGAAGTTGTAAAAAATCTTCATAAAATTATTATCTTAGTAATATCAGGTAAGTATTTGTGACTATACCTTGCTGTGCATTTAGTTTTTAACTCAAAATTCATGATGACATTAAAGCAATCATGTTTTTTAGGAAAAGGCTGAATGTCACAATTCTTTTACATGATATTTTCTCATTAACCTGAAAATTATTTATTTAATTTCAAAATACACTACTTAAAGTACAAAGACATGTAATATACAAAGAAGTGTTTACTATTTAAATAAAGAAATATAGGAGTAATTGTGACAATTAAAGGGAAATTGTATGCTCTATGTATTAGAAAGTAATTTTTCATGAAAGGATCAGATACAGTAAACTCTGTCCTTTCAGACTGCCATAACTAATCCTATGAACAACAAGAAATCACTCAAACATCCTCAGCTATTTTATTTTCTATTACTTGAGGAATTGAGTAAAATAGTTTCCTTCTTTCTTTACCATGTGTGTGTGCGTGTGTGTGTGTGTGAGTGTGTGTGTGTGTGTGTGTGTGTATGTGTGTATTCTGGCCATATATTCTGGCCAAACATATGTAATTCTATATATACATATACAGGTACATAAATTATTGTTTTAATAAAGGAAATTGTGAGCAATGATCTTCCATCTGTACTCCCTACCTGCCCACATTATGAAGGAAAAGGAGAGAGTGGAAGTAAGAGAGTTTTAGTAACCAAAGTCTTAATAAATATCACTAACACTTTCAAATATTATAATTTTTATCTAGATAAAGTTAAACACTCATTGGCAGATACTACATAAACACAGAAAAGTAAACACAGAATATAATTCATTTGCTCATTCAAAACAGTAATCTTTTGAGTTTTATTATGAAATCTTTCTCTAATGCCAATAAAGCCAGAATTTTAAGGCAAATTTTAAATTTTACTTTTTTTGGGGGGGTACTGGGGATCAAACTCAGGTGCTGCACTTGCAAGGCAGGTGACAAAACCACTGATCTAAATCCCGACCTAGTTTTACAAACATTTAAAAAAAATTTTAAACTTATTTAAATTTTCAAATTATTAGATTTTTTAGCCATATTGCTGCATAGGTACATGCTTTTATTTTCTTGACTCTTTTACCTAATTTCATTTTTATCTAATTAAAAAATAGTGCAAGGCGGACAATACTCATACAAGCAATCTGGAATAAAGTAAATTTCTTTTCCTTAGAGAAAAATGTTTGGTAAGTAAAAGAAACTATATTTTTAAAATGAAAATGATATATATTTATAGAATATAGCATCAGTAGCTAATCATATGCAGCTGCCAATTGAAAAATATGAAGTGATAGTGCCAACCAGTTTGCTTTCATAAATATCACTTTTTATACAGTTACTTACATTGTATAAACTGCAAATATTTCAATTTTCCTGAATATTACCAGCAAGAATCCACATACTTTGTAATTACTACCTACATCCCCACTCTGGTATACTCTGTTGATAAAGATGAAACAAACATTCTAAAATCAAGCATTCTTATTTTAGCCCCTAAATTGTGTACCCTAACTTTCAAATTCCAGTCTTTAATATAACTTTTACATCATTCTTATTTTTATTCAATAAGTAATATTTTCTAATTGAGGTGATAGACTGGAAATGTTGAGGTGAAAAATGTCTTTTTCTCTACTCCCGCTAATCCTTACATACAATTCTCTCAAATATCAGAAACACTCAAGTTAAACAAAAGTATAACTGCATGGGGAAATGCTTAAACTTACTCTATAAAAAAAATACTAATTTTATTTAAAAACAAATCAAAAGAGCATTCTGATAACACCTTATATACTAAAATATATAAAGAAATACTAATATCTTTAAGTTAAATACACATATAAAGAAATACTAATATCTTTAAGTTAAAAAGGCTAGAAAAATAATTCAAAATTAAGAACTAAATTACATTTTAAAAATCATTATATCTCTATACATTAGAACAATTTTGTTTTCACCCATAACTATAAAACTTTAACTTAAAAGTATAGCAGCATTACTTTCCATCTACTCTATTTATAAACTTCCACTTTGTACAGCTATGTTTGCTGGCATTCCTGTAGAGAAAGAGTTACTCAGTACATCATTGATGACAGTGTAGACTACAGCATCACTTACGGGGAGGTTCTAGAGATTAAATTTACTTATTTGTTAATCAGACTCTCCTTTCAGGAATCTTTCCAATAGACACACTTACAGTTGTGCTAAAGGACGTATGCACGTGGGTGTTCATTATGTTATTTTATGTAATGTTAGAACAAAATAGTAATAAAAGTTAATAAACTTGCATTAAATTAACTACACAGGATAGGTAATAAAGTACCTTAAAATTCTCTTTCCAGAGAAAGTACTGATTGATGACATCTCTGTTTCAATAGTTTCAAATAATTATCACAGCCATTAACATAGCTTCAAAAATTCATACCTCGGGGCACATTTTCCTGTGAATTATCACATTTGATCATTCCCAAATACTCTGAAATGTACAGTGCACAACAAGATAATCTCAAATCCTGCTACCCATGCTCTTTCACAGTGGGCATCTTAAGTCACAAATACTTTTTATAAATGACTAATATTGCACATTTCCTACTTTGTGGGCTTTACTTTGTTTCTGCTCACTTCTGCCATTGTAGCTTTAAAGGAACCATAGATATACCTAAATCCATAAGTATAGCTATTTTCCAGTAACACATAATTTATGGACAGTGGTGATGGAATTTCATGTGAGATGACGGCCTCCTAAGTGTGTCCACTTGTCCATCAGTGGTGCTAACAATACAGTGTGTAAAATTCCTCAAAGCCTGTGGAGCACTGTGAACTTCTACCACCCTCTAATCTGTGAGGAGATCCAAACCATATGTTCATTAATAATCCTAGAATCCTTAGAATTGATCTGGATATTTCAGCTTCATCTTTCATTAAACATAGGCTGAGAAAAATCAATAGATGATTGAACTTTTCCCTCCAGTTCTAAGAAGTTTTATTTCTTTTTATTTTGGGAAATCATAAGAATATGTACAACAAAAATTTTTTGAGACAGAGTCTCACTGTGTAGTGCAGGGTGGTTTAGAACTCATGGCCTTCTGGCTCTGTATCCTGAATGTGAGGATTACAGTGACATCCCAGCAGGCGCAATTGGTCTAACAAAATGTTTTACTAATTACCTGTTTGACTTTTAATCAAAAAAGCCTATGTATTTCTTTCTCTTTTTGCTTTTTTTTTCCTTTGCAAGAATTGAAAGTATTACATAGATAATGTGAAATAGGAAGAAAAAGTCATAGGGGAAGTAGAGAGGAGGGGTAGGGGAAAGGAAAGAAGGGAAAGGAAAAATATGAGAAAAGGAAAAACTGGAAACAAAGCTTTTGCAAATATGGAGGGTTGATGGGGTGAAAGGGAGGGCAGGGGAATGGGGAAAATAATAACCAAGATACATCATTTAAAGGTACAGATGCCCAATGATGAATATGATGGAAACGTATAACTAAAATGGACCAAAAAACTTAATGAATAAAAAAGAATTGAAACTATTATGGAGACGGATTTTGAAGCTCAAAACAAAAATAAATATTTAGTAATTCAATATGCTTTAATGGTAATACATTTGCTTTTCTGTGTTTAGTTCGTGGAACACTTTGCAGTGGGTAACTCATACCGTGAAGACGAACCATTGCCTCCTGTTGGTATGCGAGTGGGAAGACAGGAGAACTGTTTCAAGCCTTTTGTCACATTCCATATTCTGACTCCATGGCTTCTGTGTTGTGTGGAAAATGCAGCTGAAACTGAATCCCTGTTGGACAAGGGGCGGAGTGGAGGGTTGTGATCTTGCACCGCCTACACATGAGAGAAGCTCTAATGTTTGGATGGAGTACTGCTTTTTAAAGAGTGCTGCTCAAATGAGAGTGAAGAGTCAGCCAGCAAGGTGGAAGCCACTGAGCCCGGATCACCACGTCTCCACGGCTGTGCTTGGTGGTTTTTATGCAGGTACCGAATAAACCCTGGCAGCTGCTTGCAAAGACCAGTAATTTATCAGGCTTGGGATTTTCTATGTCCTATTCCGTCGTAGGGCCTCGAAGACACATGCTTAAGCTCCCCCAGTTTGCTAAGCACATGATTTCCTGGACATTTTGATAAATCATTATTTTTTTTAAAATTAAGAGAAAATAAATTTGACTGGAAATTCTAATGATTTACTCAATGCAATTTGTGAGCCTTTTAGCAAGATGGGTATGCCTTAGCGAGATGTGTACACCTAATGCATATTTAATTTCATATACAATGTAGAAACACTGCTTTGAAAATTAATTTTAGATATTAGAGAATATTCATTTTCTTTTAAATGCAGACTTGGTACATCTCTGTAACAATGAATACAAACATTAGATATGGTAAAATGTCATTCTTAGCATCATGTGTACTAGCAGTAAATAAAAAGTTATCAATAAAGATTAACATATCAGTGATATACAAAATTAAAATGTACCTTCATAGCAATAAAACAGAATTATTTAATTTTTTTCCAATGAAGTCATTCTGCTTTATAAGAAAGAAAAGGGCACTGTCCTAGAAAATAATATTTAGTTCAATATATATGAAACCAAGTTTAAACATAATGTAGTCAGTGGTGTCATCTTTTACAGTTGCTCCCTTAAGCTCTCTGATAGAAGACTCAGCCTCCTATACCATTGTTCAGTTTGTATTTTTTGTCTCTTGAACCAACCCTGCCCTCATCTCACTCCACAACTTCTCTGAACAAGAATAAACAGATCACAGCAAATGAAAACAAAGCAAACCAAAAGAAGACTTACTTTTCCAACATATTGTGGATCTGGTCCCATGTGTTCTTCTAAAACAAAGAACTGATTCCATACCCATCCCCTTTTGGGGCGGTGGTGGACTTCGGTTTCCCCTTCTGGGTGTTTGGTTTGGTTTCTGGTCACCTTGATGGAGCCGTGGTGGGCAGTCCCGTCACACCTCTGCACAAAGCAGAGACACACTAGCACTGGACAGATGCAAGAGGTACTCGTAATTTTCATTGTAAGACAGCTTTCCAGTTCACAATTGCCCTTCGTTTCCTTGTCAGCTATAAATGCTTAGTGCGCATTCAAAGCATCCTTTGGAAGGACAGTCCAAAGTAAACAGCTTCTCGTGTCCATGATTTGACTGCCCACAGGGGAAAAGTCAGACAGTATTTACATCCTGAAGCACCCGGAGAATCGAAGCTGGAGTTGTCTGATTCTAAGTCTTCAGAGTAGAGAAACACAAGTGACCATTTTCATCCTAATGGAAAAAGAGAAAATTAGATGTACATAAATATAAAACACGTTAATTTTAACAATTTGTTTTCAATGAAAATTATACTCTTTTGCAGAATGATGTTGCTAGGCAAAGAAAATTCTTTCAGACATACAAAGATGTCTGCATACGTTTTTCACATGTACTTCTCTATGTGTACTGTTGATTCTTAATTCCATATACTCTTGGTTATTGTTTCATATAATACAAATTTATTGCAAATGGAACACAAGAATTACACATTGTATATGAATTAGTGAACTCCTCAAATATTCTCAACAGCACAATAGCAATCTAAGATGCACTTGAAGTGTTTGATAAGTAAAATAAGAAGAAAAGCAAAGAAAACAGAGAAGAGGTTAGGTGGAAAAAAATATATTTAACTCAAAATTACTCCAGTCTTTAGGTACAGATGGGCATAATGGATTAAGAGTGAGAAGGATCTATCATAGCTCACATGCACTTTGATATGTTCTGCTTATAATACTCTATGGTGCAAACTTCAGATGGAGGCAAAGTGGATTTTCAGCCTTGGGAATGACATCAATAAATTTTATTTTTCAAATACAAAATTCTAGTGACTGTCTAAGGAAAAGATTGGGATACTATAGCAAAACAACAGAGGTAAAAATGCTTTCATTGTAAAGGTAGCAAATGTTGAGGTTTTGGATCATCGCTTTTTATATTACTGGACAATATTTTAAAATTTGAAGACTATTCCTAGGAGGCAAATAGACAAGGCTGATCCTCAAATTAGTAGTTTAAAGACAATATTTTGTGTAAAACATTGTTGTGTTTGAATAAATTACAATTAGATATTGATTCAAGAAGGCTAATTAATTTAGAAAAATTGGATGAATTATTTCTTCATGTTTAAGTTTCATGGGCTGGGGATTTAGCTCAGCGGTTCGGTGGCCTGCCTTGCAAGTGCAAGGACCCGAGTTCAATCCCCAGTACCAAAAAAAAAAACAAAAAAAACCTCACCCTATAAGAGTATAAATTAACATATGCCTGGATGAATTACAGAGTAGCTTATATGAAAACATAGTTAATTTAAAAACTATAATAATCAGTGATAACATAACTGTACATATATAAAAAGGTTCTTTTTTCAGATTTGGGATGAAAATGCTTCAAGATCTTCCACAGTGCGGCATTTTTTTCTATCAGCTTATTTTTCCCAAGTGAGAGTTCATCAGAAGCTGTTTTAGCCAATGTACAAGAAGTGCGTAGAATTCAAATGGAATCTCATTATAACCATCCGATGCATGTGAAATTCAAGTTTTAGAATATTTTATGAAAACTAAGATACCTGTCTAATTGATTTCATTTAAAATGACTCATAATCTTTCTTATTTAAAAGAACAGTATTAATTTAAGTTCACATGATACAAGAACAGGAGAAATTTTTTAAAAATTACTTTTAATTTACAATATTTACTCATATGAATCTTATAATTTTAAGTCTCATGCATTATTTCTAAATATCCTATTTATTAAAATCTTTAGCTAGAATAATTACTCTCAATACTTTTCCTGCCTACTTAAAATATTTGATTTTATATAAATTTTTAATTTGCCAAGTAATTCTTAAAGTCATGAATTTTAAAAAAAGAAATTTTAGTCGTTCTTAGAAGCCAACTGATAAGTGTATAGAAGGTGTTGTTTTCTTAATATTTTCACACCATTTAGTGTGATTTTCAAATGAAATTAACATCTCTGCCCTTTATGCTGTTATTTAACAAAGCATAATTCATGAGAAAAAGGTGAGGAAAGTGGCTTTTGCAATGCATTACCTATATTTGGAATGAGTTTTTTTTATTTACATCGTTGATCTCTTAAGTCATTCCAAAACTATAAATATATAAATGTGTGTGTGAATTATGTTTATGAATCCCATGTGAAAAGTATAAATGATAAATTTTACTTTGTGTAATAAAAGAACAAATTTCAACATTTCAACTGTGCTTTAAGAAATAATTCTATTTACTATACAATTATAGGGCAAAACTACAAATACGGACATTTCTTCCTTTATACAAGAAATCTTTCCCTTCATATGTTAGTGAGGTGAGATTCAAATAGTAAAGTGAACCACTGATTAAGACCAATGCAGTGAGTAAGATATTGACACCTTGTGACTAAGCAGCACTCCAACATGCAGCCTTCTTTTGTGGAAAAACCAAATAGGTGCATTCTGAAGAATGGAGCCCTAACTCACCACGGAACACTTAAAACTGAAATAAAGGTCTTTCTATATCCTGTTAGTTAACACCTATGCCCTTGATACATGCATGTAAATTGTATGCTCCGACACCTGCAGCCGGTGATGGATGGGTGTCAGGAAAGCTGAGTTTTTATAGCAGTGCTCCCGACTCCGAGGTGCAGCTGAGTTCTGTGCTAAGACAGAGTCCAGTGGGAGCTGAGTGACGTAAACAGCAGCCAGCGGCTCAGTGCCACTTGTCTAAGCTACTCTGAATACTACTTTTCCCAAATCCAATTCATACCCACCTTCATCAATTTTGATGTTAAATAATATTCTCCAAATAAACTTATCTGCTACTCTCCTAAAATGGGTGTGTGATGTTTGAAAGAATTTCGTCTGATAAATATTATTATGGTCTTCTTATTCCAAAAAAAATAGCTTCCAAAGGCTGAAATACGTAAAATAATCTGTACCGCTAACTTCTCCTTTGTGCTTGATATTTGAACTAAATAAATCCAACATTGCATGCTCAGAATAATCTCTGGCTTCTATAAATACTTACTTTTCAGAACTACAGTTAATTTCTCTACTTAAGAGCCAGGAGAGAACTTGGAAAGTCCATTTTGTAGGAAATGATCACACTTGTATTTCATCTCACTTTCTGAACCTTATTTCTCACTTTTAGGAGTTTACATTATATCTTTAAGCATGTTAAACAATGTAAGAATTTATAAATAGAGCATCATTTCCAAGTTAACTTTTATGTTGAATTTCTAATAACACCTAAGATTCAGCAGTTTAACCATCAATAGTTCTTAATAACGCTATTCTTTCTATGAAAATGTTAAGCATGATATTCAAAGCAAATGATTTTCCTCTGCATGCCAAACACTACTGCTACTTGCTAGGGTTTTGCAGTAAATTCTTACTCTACTGGTTCTTTATTTATAAAACTTGAGCACAAAGAAATCTAGAATATCTATGAAGAGTACATATCAATAGATACATGATGCAAATTCACAGAGGGTTTTCTTATTTATATATACATTTTCAGAAAGAGCAAAATTTAAGAATTTAATTAAGCGTTATAGTACTTGTATCTGTTTTAAATACATGCAATTTATTTTTTCTAATATTATGAAAACCTTAAGGTTATGAGAATACCCTGAATATAGATTGATATTATAAATACAGATTAGGGAATCAACCTTGAAATAACACGTAACAAAACTATGAAACTGTAAATCCATTCAATGATAAGGCTGATCTTGTAAGGAGGACTCATTCTAAAAATAGTATGACTGAACTCTTTCATGATGAATTATTTTAAATGATCATATTTTAATCACTGTTTTATTTCTTAACTTGGACTTTTTTTTTTTTTTTTTTTTGTACCGGGGATCGAACTCAGTGCTTGCAAGGCAGGCAGCCGAACCACTGAGCTAAATCCCTGGCCCTGGACTACATTTTTAAGCATCCAATGATTAATAATATATGCATTCTTTTTGGTCTAAGTCTAGTTTATATTCATAGCTCATCGATATTACCTTCTGAATTTTTATTTCAACTTTCTTTTTTTTACTTCTATAACTGTATGCTCTACAACTTTATGAGCTTTTCCTATATCAAGGAACAATTTACTCATGGCCTGTGCACAAATTCCTTGAGCATAAATACTTATTAAATTGCTCCAAATTATTTTTCTAAATTGTGTCAAATATTATCTTCACTAAATCTCACTGATATTATCATTCACTGAACAATTTTTCATGCTAAATACAGCCTACTGCAAAAATAGTGTTTTGCCAGCACTGTTAGAATAAACTCTCCTTAAATAGGAATGGCTCTAACTTTTTGTAGTGTGGGGCAAATACTTCAAATATTTTGCAAACAACATGCTGTCTGCTCTCGTAGGCTGTATGCCCACCTGCTCCCTCTTTCTCCATCTGGGCTTCTTGTCAAAGTGTATTTGTCTCTTCAAACGGACCACAGCTAAGTAACTTACTTTGGACAGTGAAGGTAAGTCAGTCATTGTACTTACTCTTTATCAGTAAATTGACTTAAATAGGCTTTGCATAGAAAGAAGTGCAAGTGGCCGCATATCACATGGAACCATGGGGAGCTTCACCTAAATTGCCTGCCAATATTGTTTCTCGATCGATTCCCAAATTTATATTTGAAATTTTAATCTTATGATTTCAGAATAATCTCATATTCTTAAAGATTAGATAATATTGTGCATAATGGTTTATATTTATTTAAAGTCATTATATAGTCAAGCATGTGTAAAATTATCTCACAGAAATGTTCTCTTAAAGATATAGAAATATCTCAATAATAGCATAAAATGAATCACACCGCATTAACTTTTGTATGCTGTGCTTTTCCACTCAAAATAATCATTTAAGTTTCAAGATACTGAGGAAATAACCATGTACATATGGAGAGGCAGAGATCCCCGACAGGCTCATTCAACTTTGGTTACCTTGAAAGTGTTCATCTCTAAACTCCATCAATAAACATACCCTCCAAGATCCAAACTAAAGACTTCTTAACAAAATCTCTGTTTTGTTAACATAAATCTTCTCAGGGGTTTTGTTTTTCAGCACATCTGCTGAGGAAAGGCTTGGAGATCCTTGTTTCATGCTACTTTTTCAGAGGTATCACACAGCCTTGGAGCAGAAAAAGAGAGTCTCTCTTGAGGACAGAGAAGGAAGACAATATCTCCCTTCTGTGAAGGCATTGGAGAGTTTGTGACACCGCTTTTCTAAGTCTGGGA